AAATTAATTCATTCATTCACTTATTCATTCGTTCATTCATTTATTCGTTCATTCGCTTCATAGTATATAAAATGATTATGAAAAAAATAAAAGGATGTATTTTTAATAAGATGATAATAAAGAGTGAGAAATAAAAATTCTATTTTAATAACCATCGTAGATCGGGTAGATAATCAACGTGCACGTAGAAAACTAATGTCGACAACGGAAAATCGTATGCATTCGTGAGAAGTTTTTGCAGATCCTGAGTAACTGCAGTTTTACTTTGATTAGGACGTCCGCACAAAGCGAATATTCGAGGTAAACGTTAATTGGAGACGGTACACCAAACTCCAATGAGTTTCACCATGCTTTTAGAGTTGAACCTTTTTCGTCTCTCTCTCTCTCTCTCTCTCTCTCTCTCTCTCTTTCTCTCTTTCTCTTCATTTTATCGTCCTTCTATCTCTTCTCCTTCCTTCGGTACAGCTCGTTTTGCTTTCTTTGTTTTTCTCTTCCCATTTCTTCTTTTCAATAACCTACGCGATTCCTTTTCTTCGAAAGCGTTGAATCACCCAAACGATACATTATTCAACGAACTACATAGAATCTAATCGCGAGCGCTTTCCACGAATCTTCTCTCTTATTTCTTCTCTCGCGAAAATCTTGCATTTCCTTGCGGTTTCTCAAAGAAAGGAAGATAGCGAGAGAGAGAGAGAGAGAGAAAGATATAGAGATACAGAGATAGAGATGACAGACAGACAGAGAGAGAAAGAGAGAGAGAGAGGGAGAGAGAGAGAGGGGGAGAGAGAGAGAGAGAGCTCTTTCGTAAGGGATGAGCAAATTGATTTGGAGACTTGTCCAAGAACTCGATTCATGGGAAAAGCTTTCAAATAATCTCTTTCGTCTTTTGGAAAATATAAAATAAGAAGTTGTTTCGCACACATACAAAAAGAAAAGAAAGAAAAGAAAAAAGAAAAAAAAAAAAGAAAAGAAAGAAGAAAGATAAAGGAAGAAGAAGCAGAAGAAATTATATACCGCAAAATTTTAATTTAGTCGGGAGTTACTAGTTAAAAGTTAACGAAAGAAAAAGATAAGGAAAGAAAAGAAAAACGTACGTACGAACGAACGAACGAACGAACGAACGAACTTACGAACTTACGAATGGACGAAAAGAAAAAAAAAAAAATAGAAAAATAAGAACATTATGACACGTAATTACGCGAAGCTTGTTCGTTCATTGACAAGGAATCTTTTGTATTAACGAAATAATAATACATTGGACGAGTATTGACACGTTCAAGTGTCCAAGCGTTCGTGTTTTCGTCACGTCGTAAAATTGCATTTTGTTGTGCCACGACGCAAAACAAAGTTTCCATTTGTTGTTGTCCCTATATAGCGGAATTCTTCTCTTCCTCTCTCTCTCTCTCGTCGAACCAGCCTCTACCAACATCTATCCCACCCCTAACCCTCCATCTCACTCTCATCCTCCTACCGCCCAACCTACCGGAACCTCCGTCGTTCTTGTCATACCTCCGAAATTCCACTCTTTCCATCGACCCTCGAACGAATAATAGTTCTCGTCAAATAGTATTCTGCGGTTTTAGAAATAGCACGTACGAAATTATATTCACGATTGTTTCTTCTCTATTCGTTAAATGAACTCGATAAAATTTCTTTGCCATTTAATTCTGTTTCCTCCCTCTTCCCCACACCCACCCCCTTTTTGTAGTATTTCTCGATCATATGAATGATAATCAAATGAATTCGAGTAAATCATCGAACATCGAAGACATTGTTCCATATTTGAATAAAAATATTTTGAAGATATCAATGATTTCGATACTGATTGTTAATTCTTTTTTTCTTCTTCTTTCTTTTTTGTATATAATATCATATTATTAATATAATATAGTATTAATATATTTACGTAGGAGTGTAAACGAGACCGTGAAAATATTTTCATAAATTAATTATTAACAAACACTTATTATTTAATTTCAATTTATTCATTGATCCCGTTACGATCATTGTATTCTTTTTTGCCGAAATTAAAAACGTATCTTTACGGCGTAATAAATCGCCAAAGGAAGTCATTTCATTCGTCATTTTTTCCTTTCGATGTTATCTCGAATGATTTTACGTGTTTTTGTTTTTCTTTCTTTTTCTTTTTTTTTTTTTTTTTTTTTTTTTATGTGCGAGATAATAAAACGTAAACATACATATATATTATGTTTGAAGATAATATATATGTAATAATACTCGTTGTTTTCAACAACCATTAGATAGAATATAGTATAGTTATTCGGAAAAAGTACTTTTAATACTAGTAGTAGAATTGTTGTTTACTCTCGAATAGGAAAAAGATTTCTTTTGTTTTTTGAAATACTGTATTTCAGATAAAACGTATCTTTACGCGTTCACGTTTTATGTCAGAGTTACGTTGGGAAAGAAACAGATAGATAAAGAGAGAGAGAGAGAGAGAGAGAGAGAGAGAGAGAGAGAGAGAGAGAAAGAGAGAGAG